AACTCAAATCAGGATAGAAATTACTACACCACCTAACTAAAGATCGTATCAGACTGTAACTATTAGTACCACCCAACTGCAGACGTAATTGAAATGTAGGTACTACTACCACTTAACTGTCTACTTGATCAGGATATTAGTTATTACAACCACTCAACTACAGATCAAAATCAGATAATTGTTGTTATCATGAACTTACTATATTTCCAAGTTAGGATAGTAATTATTAACACCACCAAACGAAATATTGAATCGGATTGTAGATTGTACTTACACTAAACTGTCTACCAAATAACGGTTGTAGTTATTACGAACAACTAACTAGGTATCAAACTGCACAGTAGTTACCACTATAGAATTGCAGAATAAATCAGATTGTAGTTACTATTACCAGCTAACTACAGAATAAATCGGATTGTAGTTATTATTAAAATCCAACTACATACTAAATAGGGTTGTAGTTATTATCAGAACTCAACTAGATATTACAAAGGATAGTAATTATTACTATCATCTAACAATCAGACCAAGTCAGAAAAGTAGTGTTGCTACTACTTAACTAAATATAGATAAAATCAGGACAATAGTCATGACATACATACAATACATACTAAATACAGTTGTAGTTATTATCACTAACCAAGTGCCAACAAAATCAGAATAGCAGCCATTAACAATACCCAAAACATACAAAATCGGTTACTAGTTATTAACTATCACCCATCTACAAAAGTTCTACTAAAGACGAAATATGTTATTACATCGCTTGTCTATAAAGTAAATGTGGTGTTATTACAACATCCAAATAGAGATGGTAAGCCGTTATGAATATACAGAAATACAACAAACGTTCAAGAGCCTTTGCTGACCTTTTGAGCTTTAGTCAAAATCTGATGAATCATTTCTATTACTGTGTAATTAAAGAAGTAATCCTATGATCCGGTCTCACAATTTATAGCTTCGGAAAAAATTCATTATTACCATCTACAAGGTACAAATTAGATTCAAAGCATAATTATTACGTCTGTCTAGCAACTCACAAAATACAGAAAGTATTTGTATTACCGTTCTAGTACAGATGAAATTCTGAGTTAGCGGAAACAGTTTACGGAGTAAGCAAAACAACAAATTCTTATTTTTACCACTTTCTAGCATCGGATGAAATTCTGTGGGTTGGTTTCAACTGTTTACAGAGTAAGAAAAACAATCAGTGCTTATTGTTACCACTTCCTAGTCACAGATGAAATTCGATGAGTTGGTTTAAACAGTTTACAGAGTAAGAAAACAATCAGTGCTTATTGTTACCACTTCCTAGTCACAGATGAAATT